CTCCGAAAATGCACTTTGCTGCGTTCAGCTTCAGCCCGTACTCCCTGAGGGTGGAGAAGGTATCTGCCAGATGATCATAGCTTCGTTTGCTCTTTACCAGCATATCATCAATGTAGACCTTCAAGGTGTTGCCGATCTGCTTTTTGAACATCCGATTCATTAGTCTTTGGTATGTTGCCCCGCCGTTCTTTAGTCCAAACGACATCACTTTGTAACAGTAAACTCCCTTTGGAGTGATAAACGCCATTGTTTTCCTGATCTGGGGGATGAAGAGGGATTTGATGATATCCTGCTCGGGCATCCAGGAAGTCCATGCGTTCATATCTGGCAGTGGTATCCACTAGTTGGTCCACCTTTGGTAGGGGTAGTCGTCCTTGGGACATGCCTTATTTAGATCTGTGAAGTCTACGCAGACACGCCATTTTCCCCCCTTCTTCTTCGCGCAAACCGTGTTAGACAGCCATTCTGGGAACTGTATCTCCCGAATGACGTTGGCCTTCAGGAGTTTGTCGATTTCTTTGTTGACCGCACAGGTGTGATGCGGGGCCATGCGTTGTGGCTTTTGTTTTACTGGCTTATGCGCCGGGTCAACATGCAGCTTGTGCGTGATTATCTCGGGGTCTACTCCCGTCATTTCTATTGCGTCCCAAGCGAACACGTCTGCATGTCTCCTTAGGAACTCAATCATCTCCTCCTGTTCGGCTGCGGGCATCGCGGTTCCAACTAAGAAGTACATTTCTACTTCTTCCTCCACCAAGGGCTCCTTCCAGAGGTCCTCCACCGACCGTTCCGTTGGGTCAATCCGGGGGTCATCCATTCCTGGATGCCCAGACTGTGATTGCTATTTTTCCATGATCTCTTCCGGAGCTCACCACTTTTCTTGGGTAAAAGCCCCGACTCTAACAGCTGAATAAAAATAATTTTTTGCGGACGCTTGGTCCCCTCGGATCTCCATAATCCCCTCTGGCGTGGCAAATTTTAGTTTCTGGTGATAAGTGGAGTGCACCGCTCCCAGCGCATGCAGCCATGCTCGTCCCATGATCACATTGTAGGGAGAGTCCATATCAATCACGACAAACTCGGTGTTGATGATGAAGGGACCTGTGACAACTGACAATGTGATTTTGCCTATGGGCAGAGCGAACAAGTCGTTGAAATCGATGAGGGGTGTCCTGACCTTGGTGAGGTCCTTAAGGCCAAGACCCATCCGTTTTAAAGTGTCAGAGTACATCACTTTCGAGGAACTTCCGGAGTCTATCAACACCCTCTTGACATCGAACTTACCTATCTTCAGGGTTAAGACAAGGGCGTCGTTATGAGGAGTCACCACACCTGTCAAGTCTGCGTCGGAGAACGTGCTGGGCTCCCCAGTCCTAGCCCTTTTACTGGGTGGCCCCCCATCATCCTCTGTTATCTTCCTTGTAAAAGCTACCCTCTTAAGATCGGACTCGAGCTCTTTGGACGTGGGGCGATCTAGCGGACATACATGGATGACATCTATGACGTTGTCTGGCTCCTCGGTCGGGGCAGGGGTTTGTCTCTCTACCATCCTGGGCTCTATGTATTCTTTCAAGTATCCGTCTCGGACCAATCTTTCCAAGAACGATTTGTATACCCTGCAGCTTTCGGTACGATGTCCGAAATCCCAGTGATAGGAACACCTAACCTTTTGATCACGGGTGGAAGGATCGCTCTGTATCCTGGGTGACCACTTGAAGAATGCTCATGCTTTATCTTATGGAGCAACTTGAAGATGGGTTCCTTGAACATAGTGTGAACTCCTTTGAACGACCCCCCGGAGGGGGTAGTAGTCCCTTTCGGGGAGTATCCTCCCGCTCCCTCTCTTTTCTCTTAGATTGGAGGGTTTGACCTTTGCTGCTTCCCATCTCGTCCTCGATCCTTGAGTACTTGTTTATCCGGGCCATCAACTCGCCCATATCCGAGGGAGTCTTCTTGGTCAGGGATCGGTACAGGTCCGTGTCCCTTGCCAAGCCGAGCTTGAAAGACGTCGCTGCCATGACTTCCGAGCAGTCCTCTACCTCATTAACCTCTTTCCAGTACCGGATGGCGTATTGGCGAAGGGTCTCGGATTCCTTCCATCTGAGCGTCAGTAATGATCCGATGTCTTTAGGCCGCTTACTCCCCGTAATGAATCAGGCTAGGAACTGTCTCGTAAGGTCCTTCCATGATCCAATGTTGTTCGGGGGAAGAGCCTCGAACCACTTCATTGCGGAGTCCCCCAAGCTCATGGGAAACACTCGGCAAAGGAACCGTTGGTCTGAATGATACAAGGACATCATTTGCTTGTACTGCCTGAGGTGGGCTTCGAGATCGGACCGTCCATCATAAGTTTTGAACCTCGGCACGATGAATGTTTTTGGAACATCCATCTCTGTGATACCCCTGGTAAAGGGTGATTGCATGACCTCGTCTTCGGCATTATCCTGGACAGTCTTGTTATTTCTCCTGGATTCCAACTGAGCCCTGAGATCAATTTTCTCCCCAACGGGGTGTCTTTTGAAGTCTCCGAGTTCGTCAATGGGTCCCCCATTTCCTGGGCGTCGCGTGGATAGGGTTGAATCCTCCTCGGACTCATCTCCTTTCCTCCGTCTTGATAGTCCTCGTCGGAGGTCGTCCAGGGCTAAAGGCCTTGCCTTCCTGAAATGGTCGTTAAGAGGGCGCTCGTTGACTCTTGGTCGCTTTGGGGCCCTGGAGCTTTCTACCTTGTTGTTTAAATGATTGCTTATATCCTTCGTTTCCGCCTCCCGAGCGGGGAGCCCACGAGAAAGGAATGAGTCCTTCGACCCTTCGCCGGAGGTGGCGAATTCGTTGAGCCAGCTTAGGACGTTCACATTGTCCTTTTCCAACTGTCGTAATCGATCCCCAAACTTTTCTTCGATCACCTCTGCCAGTTGACGAGCCAAAGGGCCGGATCCTCCTGACCTGATGCCCATACTGGTTTGAGGGGTAACCCCTATTGACTGAATAGAGGCATTTTTATTCCCATCAGTGTGATCCCTCTCTCCATGGTGACATGGAGCTTGTAATTCGAGACTTATTTGTTGGGGACCTTTTCCTTTTTGTCGAGTATTCACCATGGTCACTATTCTTTATAGAGAAAAAACTAGGAAAACTAGTTGTTTCCCATAGACGGCGCCAGATTGTGCGGGCTAGATCTTGCATAATATAAACACGATAACATATCTCTCCCTTGGTGAACTCGAGTGAGTCAGTCGAGTGGTCACCCCTGCTGTTTGGAACAGCTTGTGAGGTCCGGTGATAACCTGAAACGGTAAGGGGAGACCCTCGTGGATCTTCGGAACGATCCAGTAAGGCTGAGGAAGGTTCCTGGGATAAAGAAAGACAAGTTAGAAGGGCGCCGGAGTATTTTTTGGCGTATCCCCTCCGACAATTAAGTCAGTTTTTTAGAGAGAGGAAGAAGAAAACACTAAGTATAATTTGTAGCAAAGGTTTTTCGTTGCATACCGTCTTGCCTTTTGCGAGGAGTATTTATACCTTAAAAACCCATGATTGCTGTCAATGTGGTCAATAGGTGATCATTAGGTACAGACAACGTGTGTACGGCTTTCTATGAGGAATGTCTTCTCTTTTAACTGCTCGGGATCCCGAGCAACCAAGGCTGTGTCATCGGCCTGCCGACTGTTCAATGAGCTCCTCTCGGGAGGATGTAATAAATGTCCAGCCTTAGAGACATTTATTATCTTTCACTTCCGAGATTTACCGCATTAAATGTTGTCTCATCAAGGGAATGGTGTAATTGAATGCTTGCTTCCCAAGTCGTGTGTCAGCAAGGGCATCCGGTCTTTTTGTCTCTGATGTGACACAATATGCCACGCGTCCGTTCACCATTGGCTGTGTTCCCTGTCTTCTTGAGCCTTCTGACACCAATTGTGTAAGACGATGTCATGATGGCTAACCTAGCCTAGCCTAGGCTAGAGTCCTGTATATCAATAGCTCTGCGGGAGTAGAGAATGTCATTCTGGACGGTACTCCTCGGAACCGAGAAGGAGGTACACATAGGGACCGATGTACTATATCCCCCCAACCGAGGGGTACGTGTCAGTACGTAAACGTACTGGATGCCATTGATCCCAACGACCAGTACCTCGGGGGAGAAGGACTTGTGAACCGATGGGTACGTGTCATGATCACAGTAACAAGAATTTAGTGACACCAAGGACACGTGTCTTCATCTTGGAGTATTTTAGAAATGTTCCATAAAAAAGGAAATCAAATTTTCTACTATCATTGCAAAATTATCGGCAATAGGGGAAGAAGAAAGTCAAAAGAAAAATTGACAAGGATTTCCCCAAGTGATGGCAGATACTGAGCATGTTTTCAATCGATACAAAGATCCAGAAAACTGAGTTTAATAAAACACCTCAATTTTTGTCATGTTTTTCTTTTGATAATCTTATTTTATGATATATGTATCTGTTGCTTAAAACGAAGAAACAGTGAAAAGGGTAATATAAGAATTTGAAAAAACAATATGTTGACATCACCGATTTTTAACAGATGCTGAGGATAAGAGTTTAAGCGTTATATGCGTAAATCTTTTAAAATTTGTCAAATGTAAAGGGTATGTTTGATCAAGTGATGCTTCAAGGGGCTGAATGTAATTTATCCAATTAGAAATGAAAAGTCACGCTATTCCTAAATATATGCAACTATGCCTTTAATTTCTCGGATCCATTGTCAGACTTCTCAGCATCTCTTTCCTCTCCACTCAAACCCATTCCAAGCTTCCTGAACTGCACCAGATTTCCCGGGAAAATTAACATCTATCGCCTGAAAACAAATTCATTAAACCAAAAACTAAAAGCATATATCTGTATACTGCTAATTTATCTAATATAAAAGGGTTTTTGCCAACTTCTTAAATCTCTTCTAAAAACATTAGAGTTTTCTAACTTATAGTATTTACGTATCATTGGCTTCAAAGGATTTAAAAACTTGGTTTTTACCTGCTTTGTGTGATGGATATGGGATATGAGTACGTTGATCAAAATTTGAATAATGATATTATTGAAGTCGATAATGATGATGATGATGGTGATGATAATAATAATAACGATGATGATGATGATGATGATGAAGCGGAGCAGATCACTCAGGAAGATGCATGGGCGGTTATCAGTGCATACTTCGAGGAGAAGGGTCTCGTTAGGCAGCAACTGGACTCTTTCGATGAGTTCATACAGAACACCATGCAAGAAATCGTGGATGAGTCTGCTGATATTGAGATCCGTCCTGAGAGTCAGCATAATCCTGGCCGCAATTCTGACTTCGCCGAGGTTCTATATGTATCTCTCGATTTGTTAATCAGCTACTGGTAGTAAAACTGGAGATTATAGTTTTTTTCCCCAAGTATTTGATGTTTTTTTCTGATAAAACATCATTGTGAATTTATAGGATGACAATGTACGATAAGCTCATCTGTATTAAATCAAGAATCACTTTCTTTCCGATTGTCGTTTTCAAACTTTTTTGTTTGAATATATATATTATGGTGATTTATATGAAATCGTAGTTTGAACCGACACTTTTAAATGTAAAAATTTGCAAACACGTTCTTAAAAGTTTTTCAATTGAAAGTCTGAGAAAGATTCGGAAAGAAGAAGAGAGCTCCTTCAACCTAATGGTTTAATCTAGTTGTGTATTGGATTCATATAATTGCAAATTTAATAAATTCAGCAGTGCAAATTAGGATTTGAACTTTGTCTAAGCTCTTTAATGGAGCCAACGGTTTTTGATATTAATGTGCAGACCATCTATAGGATCAGCTTTGGGCAGATATATCTGAGCAAACCCATGATGACCGAGTCTGATGGAGAGACTGCTTCTTTGTTCCCAAAGGCTGCCCGAATGAGGAACTTGACTTACTCATCTCCACTGTACGTAGATGTTACCAAGAGAGTGATAAAGAAAGGGTATGACTGTGAAGAAGTCACTGAGACTCAGGATTTTAGCAAAGTTTTTATTGGAAAGGTATTGACATTTGAGTTTTTGAGAAATATCACGGTAACTTTTCTAAAAGTTATGATTTAATAGGTTCATATTACGAATCAATCAGATACATTTAATACTCAACTTGTCTAAATTGTAATCGATATACTAAACTTGTGTAAGTTACTAAGTTGTAGTTGATCCCAACTTTTTTTAGATAGTAAGTTAGACCCTTTTAAAATCCAAATTTGACCTCAACTAAATTGTCAATAACCCCTATAATGCTTGGCATGGTACCAATCGCTTTTTTTTTTGGTTCAACGAGGTGTTTGAATCAGTTTACGTGTATTTCAAATAATTCCCTTATCGGTCTGATCAAAGGGAGATAATTCATGTCAGGACTAGGGTATTCGTGAGAAATAAATCTCTCGTGATACCAAATTCTGTATCGTAGTCATTTTCTTTAGTTCTAAATGATGGATTTTACTTCACAATTTTGATATTTTCCTTACTTTTTGCTACATTTTAGGTGTAACTTCATAAGTTCGGTATTTTTACTACATTTCAGGTTCCAATAATGCTCCGATCAAGCTATTGTACATTGTATCATAGCTCGGAGAACGATTTAACGGAGGTGGGAGAGTGTCCTTATGATCAAGGTGGATACTTCATTATCAATGGAAGTGAGAAAGTTTTGATTGCTCAGGAGAAGATGAGCACCAACCATGTCTATGTGTTCAAGAAAAGGCAGCCTAACAAGTATGCATATGTGGCTGAGGTTCGGTCTGTGTCTGAATCCCAAAACAAGTCCCCTAGTGGCATGTTTGTCAGGATGCTTGCTCGGACAAGTGCCAAAGGGGTAATTGATATTTTCTTTTGTAGGTGTCAATTTTACTCATTAGCACGCCACAGCACAAACATGAATATAACACGTGTATTCTTGCTGATTGCGAAATGGGTAGTTAATATTTTCTGGAGGTGTTAATCTTACTATAAACACGAACACAACGCAAACCCAAATATGACAATACTTGAAATTACACTACACGAAAATGTCACGACATAACTAGATTAACAGTCTAGGAATTTGTTGAATTGGTTGGTATCCATTTGAAGAGAGTTAGATGTAAATGCAGGGTTCGTCAGGGCAATATATCCGGGCTACACTGCCATACATAAGGACAGAAATCCCAATAGTAATTGTGTTCCGAGCATTGGGTTTTGTTGCAGATAAAGATATACTAGAACATATCTGTTATGACTTTCGTGATACTCAAATGATGGAGTTACTTCGCCCATCCTTGGAAGAGGCATTTGTGATTCAGAATCAACAGGTACTTTGGTTGATTCTTAATTGAATTTTGATACTACTTCATTGTCCAAGGTGCCAGTGGACGGTATCGGGCCAGGAAAGGAAGCTCTATGTGCTGCTATTTTTGTGATGCTAAGAGGGAGTATTAAATGGGAATGTTTTTCGTTTTCCATCTGTTGTTGTAGGTTGCACTGGACTACATTGGTAAAAGAGGGTCTACCATTGGTGTCACTCGAGACAAGAGGATTAAGTGAGCATTTTGTTGTTGGTTTAAGTAAAAATATCATTTCGACGCATTGTTTTGATTAGATCAGAAATATGTAACTGTTTCGAAAATGTTCTGGAAAGAGAATGAGAAAATTTAAAATTATGATTTCAAAACATTTTGACACACTTCAAAATATATGAAACTTCTGTTCTCCAGCTCTCATTTGTTTCAGTTTCCATAGAAATCGAAACATTTCAATCGTTTTGGAAAAAACCAGATAAAATTCTGATCCTCGGTTAATTCTGCTACTGTTTTTTCTTTTGCTAATGATTGGAGAACCGGTTGCTTGTCCCTTTTGTAGGTATGCCAAAGAAATCATTCAAAGAGAAATGCTTCCACATGTTGGCACTGGGGAGTACTGTGAAACTAAGAAAGCTTACTATTTTGGGTATGTTGTGCCTCTCATTAACTATTCCTCTGATATAACTGCAGATTCATTTTTTCTGAGAGATGTTACTGTCTGTTGCTTCACCAGATACATCATCCATCGGCTTTTACTTTGCACACTTGACCGGAGGCCAGAAGATGACAGGGACCATTATGCAAATAAGAGGCTGGACGTTGCTGGTTCTTTACTTGGCGGCTTGTTCAGAATGGTCTGCCATTTGTGAATTTTTTTAATATATTTGGTTGTTGGAGTTTTCATTCCTGATTGGAACTAATGTTAAGATTGATGCAGTTATTCAGAAAATTAACCAGGGATGTTAGATCCTATGTTCAAAAGGTTCTCTAATTTAACTAGCTTTTTCTTGTCTCTATCTTTTGCCTTTTTGTGTTATATAAATTGAACCCAAGCATTTGCATGCATGAACCAGTGTGTTGATAATGGGAAGGATGTTAACTTGCAATTTGCAATCAAAGCTAAAACAATTACAAGTGGGCTTAAGTATTCTCTTGCTACTGGGAACTGGGGCCAAGCAAATGCAGCAGGCACAAGAGCAGGAGTTTCGCAGGTTGGGTTTTTATTTAATTTTCACTTCACTTTGTTGCTGATTTTTCTCTTTTTCAACCCATATTTATGTTCTTTATGTGAACAGGTGTTGAATCGTTTAACCTATGCCTCCACACTCTCGCATTTACGAAGGCTGAATTCGCCCATAGGGCGTGAAGGTGAAACTGCTTACAATATGTTGCTTTTAATATGTTGTTATTTTTTACTAGGTTGATACTTCTATTGTTTTTAATTTTTCTATAAAGGTCTCATTCTTTTCTAATTAGGTAAATTGGCAAAACCAAGACAGTTGCATAATTCGCATTGGGGAATGATGTGTCCTGCAGAACACCAGAAGGACAAGTAGTGACCAAGAACCGTCTTTTCTTTTCTAATTTCTGGAATGCACTAAAGATTATAGTTTTGTGTTTTTTTG